GGGATTCAGTCAACAAAATGTGGGTTAATGAAACTCTAGGATGAATAATGAATGATCTTTTTTACACTGCATTTAATTAAAAGAGACAGAAGCACAAAAAGAAACCCCTAAATCGGAAAGAGACTGGGGACACAGTCTGGTTCATCACAACATGTGAGCCTTATTTAGACACACCGAATCTTTTACATTTTAAAAAATTATATTGTGGCAATTTAAAATTTGAACAGTTACCAGAGACATAGTAGTTGAGTTGCTACACTTTATGTATCATAGAGTGTGATTAAGGTAAAGAAAGTCCTGATCTTTTCAAGAGACACATTAACATTTTTATAGATGAAATGATACAGTACCTGAGGATACTTTTCTGCTAATATGGAAGCACAGGCATGGGAAGTAGAAATGCAGTACTCTCAGTAGTGAATTAACTTTTGAAGGTAAGCTATGGGCTCATAGAATTCATTGTACTTTTATTTCCTTATTTGTATGTGTTGAAATAATTATAATAAATAATGTATATGTACATGCACAAAATATGTGGACTCTGATGTGCATTTCTGGTTTTATAGAAAAAAAGATATAAGGTCTTTTTTGGGCTTGAGACGTGGCATTAGAATCATTCATTAAGCCCTATAAGTAATCTGAATCCTTACTCAAAATTGAAAACATTGTTATCTGTGCCATCAGATGGGTCAGTGGAGTCTCTTTGTTCATAAATATCCCATATAATTTTGATGGTGTCAAGCTATTAATCCATTTTCCATTTTTCTCCAGTCTTGCTGCAAAGCTTATGAATATATGGGATACATCATGGAGAAGGAGCAAGCGTACTCAGATGCTGCCTCCAACTATGAGATGGCATGGAAGTATGGCAACCAGACCAACCCAGCAGTGGGTGAGCATAGCAAATCAGCCACTGGGTTTTTACCGGAAACTTATATTTGTAAATCTTTATTTAAATGTGGGGTTTTTTTGTTTTTTTTTTTTTCAGAATAAGACATCTTAAGAGCCAGTCTTCATTCTTTCTGAGAAGAGAATATATTTTATATTCATAATAAATTTTTACCTTCAGATTGTTAAATATAATTTTCTGAGATCCAAACTTGACCTTAAAGGGCTGGCCAAATAGCTCAGCAGATTAAAACACCTGCAAGCAGATGCAGGGGCTAAGGGTTCAATCCCTGGGCCTGCTGTGCTTGCCCTACCCCTGGGGTGCACTGAGACAGCAATTGAGACTGGGTGTGGTGGTGCAGGCCTGTAATCCCAGCTCTTGGGAGTCAGTAAACAGGAGGATCACTACAAGTCTGATCTAGTAGTGCGACCCTGAACGTAGACCCGTAGAGGAAATAAAAAGCACACCAAACTTGATCTTAGTCACCTTAGCAAACATCTAGTCTAACTTTTCTGTTGTCCCTTCCTCAGTCTTGAGGTTTCGAGGATGGTATGTCCTGTCAAATTAGGAAAGCGCTGCATTAAGTCAGGTAACCCAGATATCCTTACTGAAGATTTCTCGAAGCCTGTAACTCATGTTCCTTGTGGTAAATCTTACAAAACGACCACCTTTCCTGTAGTTTTACCCCACCATATTGTTTTTCTCTCGACCATCTAAAAACTCTACCTAGTTTAGATGTTTTGTAAACAATTTGAGTAGTGCTAGCCCACCTGACCTCCAACAGATGGTTAGCATCTGGAATACACTTAGTAACTGACCTCTGCCTCACTGTGAGAAGCTCTCCCTATACTTTCCTCTTTGTTTGTGTTGAGTAGAAATGTGCTTCCTAGAAACTGCCCAGGGCTGTTCTGGAACAACCCATAGAGTCTGAGCACTCGCAGATAATGCAGCTTCTGTCCTGTCTTTATTATTAGGCTTTTCTTCAGACAGCCTCAGTTAACTGTCTGTTCCTTCTAACACTTGGTTTAGAGTCTTTCACCTTTGTTTCTGTACCTTGGAAGCTCAAAAATGTTTTCCTTAATTTATGCTTCGGAATCCTTGGAGAGATTTTAATAGCTATTTAAAAATAAGGGGGGGGTGAGTGTGAAGCAGACGGCCCAAGCCACCTAAGTGTAGAAAATGCTCTTTGACTTGTCCACATCCCTTCTGACCTATGACACATGAAGTGAACATGCTTGCAAATATGATTTGGCTAACTGAGAATGTAATGGAGTTTTGTTTTTCTTTCTCTCTCTCTTTTTTTTTTTTTTTTTTTTTTTTTTTTTTTTTTTTTTTTTGCGGAACCAGGGATTGAACTCAGTCCACTGCGCTTGCCAGGCAAGTGCTTACTCCATTGAGCCAGCTCTCCGGCCCCTTTCTTTCTGTCTTGATTAGGCATTTTCTTGTTGTTAATGCAGCTTAAAATGGTGTAGGAAGGAAGGGGAGGGAGGGGAAAGTGGACACGAGGACTGACAAGTAGGAGAACCCATTCATGCTTCACCTTCACATCCATTCTGAGGTTTCGTGACAGTCCATTGTGTTCATTTTCTCAGTCTCCTTTTTTTTCTGGATGCGATATCATTGTGATCTTTACAAATTTGACAGCTGTGATTTATCTGCAGTCCACATATTCCTTGCTCTGTCTAGTCCTTTATTTCCTATCTAAAAAAAAAAAAAAAATTAGTACATGGTCTATCAAGTTTCTTCCAATATTAAAACTGTTACTGTTATTTAGTGGTAGAAATAAACTGACAACTTCTATGTGATATTTTCATAATGAGCATTCATTTAATTTTTAAAATTATCCTAAGAGAAAGAAGAGTTGTTTTGCCCATTTTATGGATGGGGAAACTTGAAATTGACAGCTTAAACTACTTGCCTCAGGTCCCAAAGCTAGTCAGGAAGGCAGAAACCAAAACTTAAACTTGTTTTACTAGTTGTCACATGAATTATGTCTGACATAATACCTTAAATTGCTTTCCCTTTTAAGTGGCGCTTGTGTTTGTCCATCTTAGAGGTCTTTGGTAATAACTTTGTGTTTACGTCTCTCAAACCTTGAAACTGACTTTTGTTTTTGGCACTTCTGTATGTGTATGTGGAATACAAATACATATATATATTTGATTAAGATTTATTTATACATTATGTATAAATATATCCATATTGAACTCTCAAATATTGTGAATCTTAAATAATTCTTGTTTCTTTTTACTGTTATATGATTATGTTAACCAGTAATCCTTTTCAAATATTTGTTTGAAATCTTGAAAACCTGTTCTGATCCCTTTGTTAGCACCCACAAGCAGCATTCACGTTTTCCTTTGCTCTAAGATACAAAGTGAATAATCAGTTGTTACATATGCTGTACACTGAGTCTTATTTCCCCAGTCCACAGCTGCTGTTCCTAACTTGGCTCCTCCTTGCTTTTCTACCCTCGAGCGTTCTTAGCAGAGCACAACCGTCAGTTAAGAATATCATAAAATAATCTTGAGTGCTCACACCGGGGCGTGTTGATTCTCACAGACTTTTTTTTTTTTTTTTTTTTTTTTGGCAGAACCGGGGATATTGACCTCAGGCCCTTGCACTTGCCAGGGAAGCGCTTATTCTATTGAGCCGTCTCCCCGGCCCGCTCAGCGACTTTTGAGGCGGGCTCTCTGTGCCTGACCGCCCTCCCGCGCTGCTCTGCCTGCGCCCTGCGCTCGCGCCTGCGCTCTGGAGCACCTCGCTGCTGCCCAGCTGGGCCTGTGGCCTACGCGTGCAGCTGCCTGCCTCTGCCTGAGTGTTCTGCAGTCCTGCCTGTCGTAGTTTATTCCTCATTTTTTAGATTTCGAACATCCTTGACACCATCATACTCTCCCTTTCAAGTTCCTTATTAGAATTTTCTTGGCTTAGTTCTTTCCTTTATCTCAGTTTTGAAATTATTTGTTTATGTATGCAATTATGTATTTTTCTCTCAATATAACATACAATTCATGACTATAAGTTTTCTTGGTGTGTGAAGCGCTAAATAAATAACACTGGAGAAATGAGCGCCTGTATTGTCATTTTCTGCCCAGGATGAGTGCCCACTCTAACACAAAATAAGACTCTTGTAATAAGAACCACACCGGTGAGATGGCAGTCTTCTAATCCGCAGCATCGCCGCTGTGGCCTTTCCTTTCAACTCCATTTTGTCCTGCTTGCTTCCTTCCATTTCAGCCTGGGTTCTGTTATCAGAATCCCCTTGGTAATTCAGTCAGCAATCTACATTAGAACCCTAGTGAGCAAGAACACTAAGAAGGCAAAAAAAACAAGTACCAACAGTGAGCTCATTATGTTTCAATTTTTTCCCCTTAACAGGATACAGACTGGCATTTAATTACTTAAAAGCAAAGAGATATGTGGATGCAATTGATATATGTCACCAGGTAAACTGATTTGTACATTTAAGTTTTTCTCATACATGATTCCCTACTTTTAGATGATCTCAAAA